TGCACCATTCTATAGGAACTCACTGGACGCAGAAAGATTCATGAACCGTCTGCTTGATGATGCGTCAAAACCAACGGAATGCTAGCGAAACCAACCCCATTCCAACAAACCAAAGCACGATGTACCCGCAGAGCGCACTGATATTTTGCGACAGAAAATGCACCGCAAAATCCAAGTATGCACGAGGACTCCGGATGTTTCACGCAAAGAGCAACGGTCTAGTCAAGATCCATAGCATTAAAAGTGTACACCCATTAAATGCTACGTCAAAATACGGGAATCAACACAACACATAAGGCGAGCCTTTGAACAGAGAAAGTGCTTCGAGGTGGGCAGAAGCCCGCTCGCGCAGAAAGATACGAATCAGATTCAGGCGAGAGCGGAGTGCAGCGAGGCCCATACGCAGGTGAGAGATCACGCAAGAAAAGTACTACAGGATTGCCTTGGTATCCAGCAAGGGAGAGTCGGACACGCGATCCAGGCGTCACGAGCACAAAGAGTGGAACCGAACAAGGCACCGCTTTGAGGAGTCCGCGGTGAAAACAGTCAGAGAAACTACGGGTAAGCGATAGAACATCCAGACCGCGCGGAAAGAGAAAGGCCGGTAATACGACCAGAATCAAGTTGCCAGAAGCCGCCCCCAAAAAATGGCCAGTGAAGAAAAAAATCTTCGCCAGAAACAGTTACCGGTAAATGCGGCCCGGACTGTGACATCACGGCGCCTAAGAAAAGGCGCGCAGAACGAGGACAAAGGCTCGCAGATCTAGAGAAAACCGGAGGAAACCCAGACAAGAGCCACATCACCCTCCTCATTCCCCCGCTTTCGCTCCCTGCACACGCGCGGGTGGGGATGTGCGTGCGTGCGCATGCAGACGAGTCAAGGATTTGCGTGCGCGTATGGTCCATAAACGGCGCCACCGGTGTGCATCCCTGCCGTTGGCTTGACTGGCCCTACTGCCCCCCCCGCCCGCACCTGCACCCGCACCCCCTCCCCAAAGCCGCGCGGGCCTGCGACTTTGTACGGCGTCTGTGCCCCGCCGGTATGTGGAGTCTGCGCCCCGCCGATATATAGCGTCTGCGCCCCGCGCCATCGTACAGCGCCTGCACCGCACTGGTATGCGGTGTCTGTGCCTGCGCCCTCACTCCGCGTACGCCGCCGCCGCCGCCAGCCCCTGCCCGCACCCCCGCTGTGCTGTCGGTGGGTCGGCGCCGGTGTCGGTGTCGCCGTAGCAGATGCAGACGGAAGCGATCCAGACGCAGAGAGCAGCGGCGATGCGGACGCGCTACCGAAAAACGACGCCAGCCCCGCACGCGCTGACGAACGATGACGCGGGCCCGAAGTTGTCGATGCGCGCTACCGGCGTCGTAGAGCCAGCGCTCGCCCACCGCCGTCCGCGCGCCCCAGCTTCGCGTTCGCGCTGGGCGTCGGCGTCGCGCTGCGCCCGCTCACACTCGCACCCCCCCACTGCACCCCATCCGCATTATCGTCGTCGTCGCCCTCACAATCCTCACCCGCCGCCGCCTCCTCTTCCCCGCGCTTCGCACCCTTCCGCACCCCACCCGCGCCTGCAACCATTCCGCTCCCACTCCCTTGAGGGCACACGCACCGCCCTGCCCCCCACACCCTTCGCCTTCTGCGGCACGCTCGCGAGCCTCGATGCCCACGGGGAGCACCTCGTCCGCCTCGCCAGGACGCCGTCGACGCCGATCTCGGTTTGCGGTGGGCAGCTGCGGGGGAGGAGGGCGGCGTTAGTAGGGCGTGGGGGACTCGAAGACAGATAGAAGAAGCGAAAACGAAGAGAGCGAAGGTGAAAGAGGGAGCGAGTGGGAGAAGGGCGGGCTGGGAAGACGCGGGGAGTGGCAGGGCGGGAGAGGATGCCCGCGCGCTAGGAACGGTGCTGACGCGATATGAAAACGAGGGGGATGGAGTGGAGGGAAAGAGAAAGGAGACGAAGGATGGACGTGTGTGCGATGCGCAGAGGGCGAAAGGGAGAGAAGGGCGCGCACGCTCTAAAAAACGCGCGAAGCGAGGCGAGGCAAACGGGGTGGGGGTAGAAGCAAGGAAAAGGAGGCGATAGACGAGCGCGCACGCGAGAACGGTAGGAGGGGCGGAGGAAGGACATAGGGGCGGCGGCGGCGGATGCGATATGAAATGGGGGTGGAGCGGGAAGAGCAGGAAAAGTGACGAAGGATGGAAGAGCATGCGATGCTAGGAGGGCGAGCATGCGTCGGGAGGAAAGAAGGAACATGGCGCAGACGAGAGGAAGGTGAAGAGGGTGAAGGCGCATGTGCACGCCCAAGCGGACGTGACGCAGGGGGGAGGTATATGCAGGCAGGAGGAGGAATCGGCACAGGGATGATTGAATTATTGATACAATAATAGATTGATGATATGATATAAGTGGGGTACGGAGAAGACGGGCGTGAGGAGAGGAGAGGACGGACGGACGGATGAGGAGGACCACGGGAAACTGGAGGGAGGGGGTGAGGGGATGGATAAGGACAGGGCCGAGGAGAAAAGGAACGCGGGGAAGGAGTGAGTGGGAGAGGAAGGCGTACGGCGCAAGAGGAGGGGCGGGTCGGGAATGGGTGGACGGGGAGCGGAGTGGGAAGAAAGGAGAGTAAGGGCAGTACAAGCAAGCGCGTATACTTAGGCAAGAAGATGAAAAAGAGGGTATGCGAGCGAAAGGAAGGGCAGGCGAGCGAGGGATGGCGCAGGAAACGATTCATAAGGGAAGGATGAATGAATATATTGAGAGAATTTCGCTATCAAGATGGGCGTCGTGGAGTGGTGATGTGAAGAGCACCAGGGGGGATCACGGGATTGAAGGAGCGGAAGGACAGAGGGATAAGGAGCGAAGGGTGCGGAAGGACGGGGGGGGCGCGCAGAAAGTGGTGGACGCAAGAAGACATGGCAGCAGCGGAGAACGCCGCCAGACGTGGGTGGATGGTTAGGGAATGGAGGCATCCCGAGCGTGTGATAGAGACGACGCCGTCGGATAGATACAACGCAGGCTCCGAAGGACACCAGTCGCAACACCAAGAACGCGCCAAAGTAGAATGTTTGGCCGTGGCAGGATTATGTCAGCTCCGCTGGCTTGCCTCGGCTCAACGTCGCTGATTTTTGTGCTCGGACTAACTTGGTTCTCTCTGCTCGGACTTGCATACACTATCAGCTACAGTACTACTCGTATGTGTGCTAACTGCACTTTGACCAGTGTACCGGCGACTCGGGCTTTATGTACCACCCGGACTAGCCTTTTTCACCAATTGAATGCGCAAAATAGTCACGCTACTTTTGCGCTACTTTAGCCAAGTCCCAATTCATATGAACAAGGACCTAATGACAAAGTTGGTGTCGCGTCCATTGCCGCTGAGATGGTTTGGGATGGCTCCGTGGAAGGCCCTCGTTCGAATCGAGGTTAGGTCATCATCCTGTTGTCTGTCATCTTTTTCACCCCACACGAAAAGACTGAAATAATCTCACACGTTTATAGGAACAAGACCTAATAGCGAAAATTGTATCGCATCCACTGCATCTTGGCCATATCTTGTCAAAATACCGAAGCCCCTCGTTCGAATTAATTCGTATCATCGAAGTCTTTTTTTCTTTCTTTTTCATTCAACCCACACACAAAAATCTAAAAAAATCACACACCTATTCAGGGGCAGGTAAAGGGAGGAAGGACCTAATAGGGAAATTTACATCGCATCCATTGCACCTGGTTCGATGTAGTCAGTATTATGTGGAAGTCCCTTGTTCAAATCGAGGTTAGGGCATGTTGGACTCCCAGTTTTTTTTTTAATTCGCCTCCACACAAACTCAAGCCCGAAACAATCCTACATCTATCCAAGAGCAGGAAGACCTAATAGTGAAATCGGCATCGCGTCCACATCTGCTAGTGTTAAAGCGCAAATAAGACCGGTTCATGTGAAAGTCCTCGAAATTAGGGCATGGCCAATTATTCCAGGACTTTTTCTTTTTTACGCTGACACAAAAATAATCCCACTTCATACCGGGTTCATGGATATGGGAACGAGACCTATGGAATTGTCCACTACACCTCAGTAGAAAATTTACCCATTATGTGGAAGTCCCTCGTTTGAACCGAGGTTAGGTCATCTGGGAGTCAAGTCTCAGCGTCCTTTTTTTCCGCCCCAAACAAAAGACTGAAATAAATATCGCACTAGTTCCGGTTCAACTAGATGGTAAGAAGACCTAATAGCGAAATCCACCTATCCTGACCAATGTTCCCATTTCGGTGGAAGTCGTTCGAACCGAGGTTAGGTCATAAGTCTGTGGCACCGAACATTTCTTTTATTCACCCCACACAAAATCCCTAAACAATCACACATCTATTAAAGAGCAAGTAAGGGGGAGGAAGACCTAACAGCGAAATTGGCATCGCATCCACTGCCTGTTTCGAGTTGAACGGTCCACTTAGGTGAAAGTCCCTCGTTCAAATCGATGGCACGCTTCGTTCCAACCCAGCTTTTTTTATTCAACCCCTACAAAAGCCTGAAATAATCACACATATTCCCAAGGGGCAAGTAAAGAGAAAGAAGACCTAACAGCGAAATTGGCATCGCATCCGCTGCACTTGAGGGAGCAATCGGTGCCCATGTGGAAGTCTCTCGTTCAACCCGAGGGGTTAGGTTCTGGCTTGCTATACCCAGCTTTTTTTCACACAACCAACACAAAAGCCTGAAAGAATTTCGCAGTACTGAATGTTGAATAGGAAAGGGGGAAGACCTAATACCGAAGCCGGTTGAAAGGCGAACGACGTTGATGTGGAAATCCCTCGCTCAAATCAAGGTTACTAATAATAATAATATTCGGTCATGGAGAGATTCTCCGTAACTTTTTCTTACCCACCCACACAAAACGGATGCTACGCCGTGTTTAAAGTCATAGGAACAGGACCTAATACTTAGCGAAAATATCATCGCGTCCACATCATTTGTTGCAGTTAAGTGTTATTTGTGGAAGTCCCTTGTTAGACCTAATAGCGAAGTTGGTATCGCATCCATTGTTGTTGAAAAAAAGATCATAAGCTGTTTGTGGTACGTCGAGGCCCCTCGTTCGACTCGAGGTTAGGTTGTGTCTCTCTGGCGCCCATCTTTTTGCGACCCTCCTTGCACTAGTTGAGGTTCAACTGGATTGGAGGAAAACCTAATACTATTAGTAATAGCAAAACTTAGTATCGCACACACAATATTCGAGTAAGTAATATGTTGATAGCCTGGAAGTCCCTCGTTCGACTCGAGGTTAGGTTGTTCCATTCAGTTGCATTTTTTTAATGCAACCCATACAAAAAGTCTGAAAATTTCATCGTGTTTTTATATCATTTTTTTTGCAAAACAGTTCTAGCATGCGACTATCAACCGGGACAAGAAAACAGGTTGAGAACATCGCGTCGTGAAATTCTCTACATAAAAGTCGACCTATGAGGTAGATAATTCAACCTCAAGACTGCTGTTTTTAAATAAAGCGGGTAGGGACGACAAGCGGCACAGCCCTCTACCGGTTGGGAGGTACTAATACTTTTTAGGGTGCTCTGGCATACAAAAATCTTCAAAGTGTCCTGGGTAGAAAATTTTCATGAGCATGAAACAATAAGCCTGACTTCCCAACCAACATCCAAATGAAGAGGCCGTGCTGACTTCCTGAGCCAATTCAAGCCAATTGGTTGGATGGATGATATCTGATTTTGTTCTTGTTAATTTTCCAGAGTTTTTCAGACAATGGAGAGGAATAACAAAATGAAAATGAAAAAATCCGGCAGCCTAAACCCAGGGTTCAAATAAAAATAACATCCTCATATGTAATATATACTTCTTCTTTCACATCCAAAGGGAGTATGGCAATATTACATCTGTTCCGGAAAATAATGACACTCTGATATATTTTTTTGGCTCACTTCTCATGCAGAATGTAAATTGGGCCCACAGCTGAGTGGAGTGTTGTTCGGGTCAGGTTGAGCTTGGGCCCAAGCCTGGGCTGGACTGCTATTTTTTTTACACCATATACGGTAAGTTTTTGAATGATGGAAAAGTTCGTTTTGCTGCTGCCTACCTCCCATGAGGCTCCGGGAATTTTCTGCAGCTGTGAATGGCCTGTGGAACCGACCTAGATTTTAGTTGAGCTGCATCAAAATATCAGAATGTTCCTTACTAGGTACGCGGCCTCAGGAAACAGACTGGGAATACTTAGAAGTCTAGGGAAGATGTTTGGAAGGTCCTAAGTCAATTTGAAGTCAGAATTACTCACCACGATTGTACCGCACAGGATATAGAAGAGTAAGCATGTTTTGTCCTGGAGCCCGATGCCGGTCGCATCATTGTTGGCGGCAGTGAAGCCGGAATATTGCTGGTTATTGTGTTCTCCACTAATGGGATATGTGTCTCTCTGGTTTCAGTCATTCTGGAATCCTGTGGCCACAATAGTTTTTTTATGTTAGTCTGATATTTTTCTGCATAACCTGTCTTTCTGAGTTATTGAAACAACAAATTGATTCTCATGATGCCCCAGGCTGAAGATTGCGACAACAACCATGATATTAATGGCGCTTAAATACCTTGAGAGACCCCAGTTTTCATCTTTAAATGTAGAAATATTTCCGCAGTAAATTGAGCTTCTGAGCCTTTTTTTGAGGGCCACAGAATGGGTGAAGTGGACTGCGCTACATATTCAACCTGCAATATCTTCAGACCTTGCAGTTAGGTCAACAGAATACTGTTTGTATTAGGCACCCCATTAAAACTACCCTGGTTCGAAAGTAGTTTCATTCACAAATATCCCTTGTTTATTTTGTGAACTTGGACCAATGTGCTGCACAGCATCGGAAGATTTAAATTATCCACTCTGGAGACACAACCAGATAGTGAGAAATATTACGCTATACGAACAAGGTCTGTCAATGAACTTGGGCAATCTCATTTTCATTCCTGGTCCTTATTGTTTTCTTTTTATCCCCAATATATATTTGTCAGTGGACTGAAAGAGCCTAATGTTTCAGACTCTTGCAAGTCATATTGAATGTTTTGCAAGCTGGTTTCCTGCACGCACAGCCTATCTTATTACCATTTATTAATATTTATTACCTGTGATTCGTCAACGACGCACCACGCAAAAAATGGCATATGTCTCTTCTGATAACCGTAAAACTCCACAGAAACTTGGGCCAAGAGCCATTGGAATCTTATATTCTCTTCCTTTTTCTCTTTTTTCTTCTTTCCTTTTTTAGATATTTAATTATTGTTATTAAGCACCCACAAACACCAGAATAGATCCCATGACAACTCGCCTAAGATGCTAGGATGTTAAATATGGCGTTTCCAATCGCGTCGCCCACAGCACCAGGCGCGTCATTGTCGTCGCCCCAGTTGTGGTCTCTACCCGAAAAATACGAACTGCCTGGTCCTCAGCGGATATCCATTCGGAAAGAAGGAGGCGTACGGAGAAAAGTGAATCTGGGGCGGGAGGCTGGTCGACTCTCGCGACGAACTTGCACAGAGCTGGATCGGCGACGAAATCTTTAAATCGTTGCCCGTGCCCGGGAAGGGGATGACGAAGCCGAGTTCGTACTTGCAGTAGGTTGAGTTTTTTTTTTGAACACATGTAAAATCTAGACATCTTACCTGCCAATCCAGGATATCCGTGCTATGCGTTGGTGGCAAGGGAAACTGCAGTTCTAACGCCAACCGGACCGAACGTTTCCAAACCCCGCGATCCTTTTCTTTCGGGATCCACTCCGGTTCATCCACCACTGCTTCAACTTCGCACAGTGATTTAACTCGCGCAATCTCGATGTTGTCCAACCCTCGCGTCATTGGGAGGTCAAAGCTATCTATTTGATGTGCAACTTTGTCTTGAACCTTGATATTAGTGACGCGACGAAGAACTTGCTTGAACTGGGATGAATGGGTTGGAGGCTCCGGGAACAGCGACTTCCCTTTGTTCTCAGCTCGATCAGAGCGCGAAACCGACTTTGTTTCTGTCGAGATCTGAATGACGATTGGTATGGGAGTGCAAATGGGATAGGATGTTAAATCGGGGATGGACAACTGCAAGGTGAGTTACAACCAGATATGCCGTGATAAGAGTGAAAGATCGTACAGTTGCACACGCTTGGGAGTAATCACCCCACATTCCCCGCCGCATTTTCTTTTCTTGCGTGATATCCCGCCATGGCCCTGTCCAACTCTGCTGCAAGGATTCTTTGGCCCGTAGTTCTTCTGCAGTCGCCACAGGTACGACTGCGAAGACTCTACGGATTTGGTGGTTTGCCCGCCGACCCTCTCTTTCAGCCACCACTTCGAGAGAGTAGGAGATTGCCGCAGCATGGGAGGGCTCAGCCGTACAATGAAAAGACGGGTGTGAATCGCCCAGAAGTTGGAATTGAAAAGGACAGGAAAGAACCTGAGACCCTCCCTCAGGAAATGCACTCCCTGGCGTCCAGAGGGACTTTTTATCCTGAAAAAGCTGGTTGGTGCCCGAAATCAGTGAGATAACACACCAAAGAGAACGACATGGATCCTACGACGACGGACTGTGTGCGCGGTACTTTCTCATTGCGAACTAGGATTTGTCTAAGATGCCATTAGCTTTGGCCAGGAATATAGACCAGTGCGTACGTCTTTATGGCTCCTCTGTAATTGATCCACAGATGGTGAATTTGGAGTTCTTGCGCCTGCGCCATGTTGAGATCGACATGGCCTGCGATTGTCTCGCCTGCAACACGGACACGATCTTTGAAGTGAAGTTTGATAGGCGACTGGAGGGTGCTGCTAGAAGCCATGAGTCCGTCGAAAGTCCACCGGGTTCTTTATACAAGGGCCCGATTTTCGCGAGCGTCAATCTGCCAAGAGAAAGGCTGAGTGGCGAGTAATATCAAAAGACACGCATTGTTGATTGCTTTTCATAGCGCGATCTCGCGGAGTTTCGCTTTATTATTCCCAACGGAAACCCCATTTTCGGCTCAACAACCTATCCGCAGCCCATGTTACAATCTTTAAAAAATCGAAATATTGGAGACGGAACCAAATGAGTGGATGTATAGACTCTCCCACTCACTGTCATGATCAGCTGCCAGTGATAAATATCACCGTGGCTACGAACCGAACGCCGTTCCGCACGGCTCGGTAATGGTGTTTGTGGGGATCAAATTCCCATAACTGGAATAACCCAATTGGGTTATTCAGATTTCTATCAACCATTTCGGCATTGTCCGGCCTGCGATCAATACAAGCGGCGTGTCTTTGCTTTTTTGCAATCTCACTCAATACCTGACCTATGGCCAAGGTCCAACTGCTATTTTCTTGTACTACATGCTAGTTAATATCCAAATGTTTCTGCAAATTTAAAATCCAAGTTCTGCACTCAGAATTGAATAAATATATCAGGATGTTGATACATGCTCAGAAATTTGTATGCAACAAATTTAGTCAAGGTCTAACTGCTGTATTCTTGTACTAAATGCCTAGTTAATATTCAAATGTCTCTGCAAATTTAAAATTCAAGTTGTGCACTCAGAAATATATATACCAAGATGTTGTTACATGCTCAGAATTTTCTATGCTACAAATTTAGTGTGAAAGTCTGGACACATTTTGCACTTGCATATCCACTATCGCGTCCCTTGCAAGAAATCTGTCCACAGTCACGACATGGATTTTTGCAATATCGCTTTCGAGTGCCACCTTCACACTCATCAATACCGCACTTTCAGCATATTTTTTTGGCCCTTTTTGGGACTGCACCTGCATTTGGGACAAAAGAATCAAATCCAGGTGCTCGCTTGTTTCCAGTTACAGAGGATGCACTGGATAGAAGAGGGGCAGAACTGGAGGATGCAAAGGGAAGATTCGTCACAGCAAAATCATTTTCTTCAAAGGTGTTGGCAAATGTGTATAACTCTTGCAGCTCCTGGTCAGTTGGAAAATTGTTTTCCGGTGACTGTGACTGCTCAATATGGTGGGCAGCATTCATCAGGGGCAGATCACCATGATAAAACTGTTGCTGAGGATTCTGAAATGAAGGAGCAACCATATTCCAATGTCTGTACTCACGGAATATTGGTTGAGAGGATGATGATCTATG